TTTTTTTTTTTTCTTCCCCTCTCCCGATTAGCGATAGAACACTGAAGATTTGACTGAACACATTATTAAAACATCATAGACAAGTCGCAGGATTTTCCAAAGGCAGTAAAAATTGTTTTTCCAGATCAGAAACTGATAAATAACAGTGCACTTGCATTAGGCCTACAGAGGCAAGGGAAGAAATAAAGAAAGAAATATCAATTATCAAAATAACATGTAGATCGAATTCTACTGGGAAGCAATTTGATTTGGCCTAACGTGTACCCGAGATGTTTCCTTTTTCTATACTTTTGATGCGCGCCCACCATCGGCGGAATTAGGGCGGGTCTAGGCGGAATTAGGCAAGGAAAATGCCTCACGCAGACGGCGCGCTACGGACAATCGCTTATGATTTCGGGCGTAAGAATGGCATAGCTAGATTTGCTAGAATTTCGGCAACAAATTGGTATACATTAGCGCCTGTATAATTCATTTTCAGAGAAGTTATCTGAGAAAAACTGCCCATCGGGCGGAAACCGGGCAGAGTACGGTACGTGTAAAAGACATTACATGAAATTAAAGGCCACATTCCGGGCCACATTTTGCAAGACATTTCTTATTAAGTTAAATATGCGTGTATTTCCAAGGCGTCGTACAATTTACATATTGGAAATACACGCATATTTAACTTAATAAGAAATTCAATTTCATTCGTCCAGGTTATTAAATGGAAATGGGGGGGGGGGGGGGGAGGAGGGGGGGAAGAGCGCATTTTTTAGGTCATCCGTTAGGATTTTTTAAAAATTATTATTATTTTAAAAAAGAAAAGAAAAGAAAATTGACACTCAAAAAAGGGGGGGGGGGGGGGTTCCGAAAAATACACACATTAAAAAAAAACTCAAGAGGGGGAGGGGGTACCCCCCCCCTCTGCGTACGCGCCTGTACAAAGATAATGGGAAAGAGAGCTGATGTTTGTTTGTTTTTTATTTCCGAAATCCATATATACATACAATTTTTAAAAACAAACATAATATTAAACACATTTCAAATGATAAGAAAGTAAGTAAAATAAATTTGTGAAGTATAAACAAACGGTTTGATAGCCCATTCCAGGACCATTTTCAAAATGGTCCTATTCTTTCATGGAGTCCAAAAGCAAAAATCATATTAATTTACATACAATAAAATGATGCGGAGTAAAGAAAGGAGAAGTAGGGACGGTTGTATATTGACATGAATTTGCAGCAGAAGACAGTGAAGAAAAAGATATTGCAATAATAATGAAGCGGAAAAGTAAGAAGGGAAAAAAAAGGGGGATTGACATAGTAAGTACTGAACACCATTCATGAATAGCACCTTTTGGGGGAGGGGGGTTATATAACATGTAGACAGAGTATCTATGATGGTTTTCGAAATGGTTGCTATTCGCACATTCCATTCATATCAAAGCTTCTTACTGCAATCTGCAAAATATACATAGTATACAAAATAATTTATACACAATTATAGAAGAAACGATCTTCTGCATAAGCCATAGTTGCCAAATACATTCTTATCATGCTTCTGACGAGAAAATTATATTCCAAGTTATCCCTGATTAATTTCCAAACAAATCCAAAGAATTTGTTTACCAAACAAGCATCAATTGTGGTCCGCATAATCTAAAGATTATACTTAGCAGCATCGTGGAGTTTAATATCCTGTTGAGTAGTAACAAGTTACAACATCATTTCATATTTCAATTACATGTAAATATGTACAATATCCTGATACGTTCGGAGTACGGGAGTCGGGAGCTAATTGCAGAACTTTCTTTCCATTTCTCGCAAAATGTTTCTGTTTTTTTTTTTTTTTTTGAACGATGAGTTACACACATATACACCTGTTTAATATAGAGTAAAATACATTATTTTGATGTGAGGTTTAAAATCTAGAAGTGTAATTGTAGTAATCATAGTGAGCAGAATACTGTTATATTTTATTTCAGTGTTTTAAGTATATTATTTGGAAGAAGAAGAAGAAAACTCATCGCCCCCCCCCCCCAGTTGAGTAAGAAACAATTAAATTAAACTGGTCCTACTGCTCACGCTCCACGTCCAGGGTCGGTGACTTAACGAAGGGTTGCTCCTTGCTTTCTTTCATCTCCTTGACCAGCCATATCTCGTTCTTTCTGTTGAAGAGCTTCAAGGGGGTGTTGTAGAAAGCACAGTAGAAGGCATCCCTTTTGACCTTGACCCCATCTGCCTCCAAAATGGCCATGAACTTCTCTTTCTCCTTCAGGCACTTCTCATCGTTGGCAAAACCGCCAAATTTCCTGATTTTAGAAAGAAAAAAAAGAGATAATAATTATTAAGGTGTTGTCGTATGGAAATGCACACAATACGCTGCATTTAGTCTTGATGGTATTTGCATAGATGCAAGCAGTGCCATTGGTTTTGATATTCAGAACGAAACAAGAGTATGATATATTTCTGTTTATTACACTGTTTGTGTATTGAATATCCTGCCGTTCATTTTATTGTACTTAGATGATGGATCGGAGAGCTAATTATTGTAGAAACAAATTCATTACCTCCATGCCCTCATCGAGAGGCAGGTAATACTAAAACATCGGGACACCAATGATGGGTACAAGCAGGGGCGGCACCGTAGGTGGGTTGGGGGGGGGGGGGGGGTGGAATCATCGACATGAAAGGGTTTATTTATTCACCTACATTAATCTATATAGTTAATGCCAGTCGGGAACAAAACGAATATTTTGTCCAGTAATAATGTCCTTTTGCCCATTATGCATACATTAATGGCCCCTTGTCGTGCATTATTATCTTTTATGCTTATGATCAATCCAGTCGATTGTTAATGTATACACCTCAGGCAAGAGGCCCACCCTCACCTCCTCCAGATTAAGGGAGGGGTGTTGTCATGGGCCGGTTGTGCTTCCTTATAATCCCTTTAATCCATCAATGCTCCTCGCTCCTGCGCTTGCTTACATTGCATAGACGGTCATGGCGGGTTGCTGGTTGATATAGATATCAGGATCAGTTGGTAGTGGGGTCTTCTCCTCAAATTCTCTAGGAACAAAAAAGGACAGCGTTCGCTTGGACTCCCCCTTGGGACCATTTTCTGTTGTGTAATCATTGATCACAGGAAAAGTCATGTCCATGTAATGATCTGTTGGGTAAGAGAGAAGGGGGAAAACTAATTTTAGAATCTGGCTAATAACCCTAATAACAAATCAATCAATCCACGCTGGGAATTTCGGAGTGAACGACGCATTCCTGTACATGTAGGCCTTTGCCGCGACCAACCGGCCCTTCGACAAGAAAATGACAGGCCCTTCGGGATAAAGGCCTACCCTTAGAGATAAACTCTTGTACAGGATCTTTAAAATGCAGAACCCATGCTCCTAGCTATCCACTCCTGGTTCCCAAACACAATATATTTCCATATTCAGAATTATAAAAGATTATAGCCACTCATTTCAAAATTTCAACTTTGTTTGTGGTGGCGGGGGGATAATAACTTTTAAACACAATAAAACAAAAACGAAGTTAGCGACATGCGAAGTACCGCCTTGCTTACTACAACTTCAGCAGGTTTAGAAGGCAGTCGGTAAAATATGCATTTTTAAAACATTATATTAGAGATAAGGCTATTTTTTAGAAACATTGTTGGATTTGATCACAATTCCTACATTAACACCACAGTTTTGCCTCAATTATAATATGAAACATTCTTAGGGTCCGTTTTCATAAAAACTACTTGGGTAAAATAAGCTTGACTATGTCTTAACTTTCATCACTTACTGCCTTCGTTTTGTCCCTGTATGTAGCCAAAAAGCTTGCAACATGGTTCATTTTCATCCTTCTTGGCGGTGGTACCGTTGTCGGAGGCGATAGCGGGATCGATGATCGTACTCGTAGAAACCCATACGGAAGGATTGTACATTCTTTCTTCATATGCTTTCTGTAATGGGATTAAAAAGGGGGAAACCATTGAGTTTCACTTCATTATTTGAAAACCTCTTCTTTCTTTCTCTTTCTTCCTATCTGTTCCATCTATATCCCCTTTCCTTCTCCACCCTTCTTCTCCCCTATTTCCCCATCTCCCTCCCTGCCCTCCCACCCACTTCTCTCTCTCTCTCTCTCTCTTAGCCTCCCTCTATCTTTCTATCTACCGCCCTTCCCTTCTTTTTTAATATTTTTTTTATAGCAGATGTTTCTGCATTAATTTGTATTGATAAATCAAATATAAAACATTCAAATAACAATAATAGTATATATTATAATTGATTTACATGAAGAATGACAACTTAAATACACACAAATAGAAAATGCATAATTGAAAGCTTGAAAGTATTGAGGTACTAGTAACAAAAAAAAATCAAGATAAATGCAGAGGCTAAGTATCATAAGCAAGAATGCTTGAGTCGATAGCAGCCACCTTCCTTCTATTTCATCATATCCCTGGCCTCATTCCCATCCCCCTCTCCCCTCCCCTCTCTCTCTCTATCTTCTCTCTCTCTCTCTCTCTCCTCTCTCTCTCTCTCTCTCTCTCTCTCTCTCTCTCACACACATACATACACACACTCACTCACTCCCCTCCCCCCCCCCCTCCTCTTGATCAATTGCTGTACTCACGTTCTGAGTCTTGACAACGTCGTATTCTGGGCTTCGGCGGCTATCACAGAAGGTGCTCTTGATAACGGACATCATCTTGGCGATTTAGGAGGGAAATCGTCAGACAAACAAACACTTTTCGGATGGATGTAGGACTAAAAATACCGGTGATCCACTTAATAACTGGAAGGTTCTGTTGGAGGGAAAAGAGAAAGAGTTATGGATTTTTTTTCCTTCAATATTTGATTTAAAAAAAACTTTAAAAAAAACTCAATTAACAGAAAAATACGATCGTGTCATATGAACTTTTTTTCTTCTTCTTCATCTTGCCATTAACAAAATAGTTAGTCATAATTTGTTGTAACCTTCACTTCGCAGAAAAGGAAAAATAGTTTGCCTTTGTAATATTTATCAATATGCGCGTGAGATTGAAATTGAAAAAAAGTACCGAGGACAACGACAATCGATTCTGGACAGCCTTATCACTACCCTTGCTGTCTGAGGGTAAAATTAAAAGAGGGAAGTACTTCGAGGGTAATTGTCCTATAAGGTATAATAATCCGGCCAATGGATATTATCGTCTGGCCGGGATCGCGGACACCTAATGTGGTATATTCTCTTGCAGACTAATTTACATGAATGATGTTAAAGGCCTCGCTCTAAAATGATTACGTGCACGTGCTAATGTTGTCACAAACAAATAAACAATAACAAATTATAATGTGTAAATCATTACCTGGAATTTCGCAGTGTGCCGGTTTCCTGTAGGTCTATTCTCCAGATCTTCCTTCTCTCTTCTCTCGTTTGATGGTTGGTGATACTAAAACAATATAGTTTTATCTCTGCTGTCATATAGCATATAAATATACTTGTAAACGTGCGTATTGTAACTGAAATAACTCTAATTATTGAAGGAAAACCGTGTATTATCTACTGCTCGATTCTGCTATGATATGTCAATCTGACTTCTCTGTTGTCATCCGCCTCTATTTATGCATTTTCCATCACGCACAATGTTAAGAACACATCGCTTTGCATACCGCGACTGAATTGAGAGTCAGACCTGGGAATTTCGCAATTCGTGACGTATACGTGTTTGGTATAATGCAGACGACAACAATAAATAACCATTATTAGTGCACTTATGCGTTGAGCGAAGCGTGTTGTCTGCTGACAGTGACGTAAATACAAACATATATCAACAAAGGGGTTGCATCCAAGCATAAATGACTATTGATAAAAGTATAATACATGTATTTATTCCTGAATTGAACAAAATATCACGTGCAGTGCTGCTCAGTGTAGCAGCTCCAGCGTTATTTGACACTCATGGTAATATGGTCGAAATAAAAGTGACATCATTTTAAATGATGTCACTCTTATAGATGCATTAATAATATTCATTCATTTGGTAGTAACTAAAAAGTGGCATTTGACTATTTTCAGTAAATGAATTGTATAGCGCGGACTAAAATCTTTGCTTTTTTTGTCAGTTATTTAAAAGTGGAATCCTCATTGATATAAAAATAATAAATGTAATATTTGTATTCGTCTTTGTCTAACCACTGCTGTCTTTTTTCTTCTTTTCTGTATGCATCCTCATCAGTGGCGTGCGCAGGATTTTTTCAAGGGGGGGGGGGGGGGGGGGGTTAAAATTTCGCAAGGACTCAGCCAGCCGCTGAATAAGCGGGGGGGGGGGGGGTAAGAGGACACTTTTTTTCGATCCCCCCAAAATCCGAAAATTTCACATTTTGTTCCGTTGGGGGTGGGGTGAGGTCAACTTTTTTTTTTTTTTTTTTTTAAAGTTAAAAAAAACAAAGGGGGGGGGGGAGGAGGGGTTCCCCAAAACCATACACAAAACATACACATAAAAAAAACTCAAGGGGGGGGGGGCTTTTGAGGTTAAACCCCCCCCCCCCCCTGCGTAAGCGCCTGATCCGCATACTTTCTCTCTCTCTCTCTCTCTCTCTCCTACTTAAAAAAAAAAATGAATATGGGTACATGTAAGTCAAGGTAAGAAAACGGTATAATTATGTGAATGGTATATCGAATTCAAAATTTCGCATGCTTTGTTCCTACCGGGTATATTGTGCCTTTCTCGTGTACTGTAATTATGACCAGAATAGAAACTGACGTCATGGCAGTACTGCATGGAATTTAAAGATTCCTTATTCTTATGGAAAATGGTATAAAACATCGATTGGTGATAATTTGTGCATTATGCATTTTACTTCAAAAATGTGATCATTATATCAATGTCATATGGTCTCGACATTATGTATATCTGCCCCGTTTGAGTCTACCTCTCTCTTCTTCCTGTGTCGTGTCAGGTTTTTTCTCTCACCTCTTCTCTCTCTCTATTTCTTCTACTTTTTTGACAATATTTTATTGAACATGGGTAAATGTAAGTCAAGGTTAGAGAACGGTATAATTATGTGAATGGTATATCGAATTATATTGTGCCTTCTCGTGTACTGTAATTATGACCAGGAAAGAAAATGACGTCATGGCAGTACTGCATGGAATTTAAAGATTCTTATCGTTAGGGAAAATGGTAAACGTCAATTGGTGATAATCTGTGCATTATTCATTTTAATTTCCAAAATGTGATTATTATATCAATGTCATATGGTCTCGAAATTAAGTAGATCTGCTCCTGTTTGAATCTCTCTCTCTCTCTCTCTCTCTCCCTCTCTCTTTCACATACCTTTATCTCCCTCTGATTTTCTATCTCTGCTTGTCAGATTGTCTCCCTGTGTTGTGTTATGTTTTTTCGCTCCCTCTCTTCACCCTCCACCCCCGTATCACCTCCCTATCCTTCTTCTCTAGCTCCCCCTCTCTCTCTGTCACCTATTTCATTTCTCTCACATATTCTCACTCTCTCCCTCCACTCTCAACACCACTTGCATCACCCTCTACTTTTGGAGTATACACATTATCCGGTTTCGTCATGTCCAAGCTATAACCAAAAATAGAACTATACGTCATGCACTGGCTGCGTGGATATTCATAAAGCGCGGCCGTATGCCTACACAAAATCTTCATTATAGCAAATCGCTTCGAAATATCGAAGAAAAAATAATGTCCACGTGATAAATATTACTTTATTTCCCTGTCTATTTATTATAATTATGGCGCCCCATGTAAATAATAAATATGGAGTTCCGTCACAAAATCGCTCAAAATAACTGATTTTATCACGAAATCAATCTCACAAAGTGATTTTGTCCATGGAATCAAATTTTGTACATATTTTTATATCGATCTCCAAATACCCCCAACTTTGGTCAATTTAGGGGTATGGCTCTCACAGGGGCACCTCAAAGGGGCGTGTAGGTAGCACGAAATTCAGAAAAGAGTTGAGAGAGAGAATCAAAGAGAGGGAATGTAGAGATAACTAGAGAGAGAGAGAGAGAGAGAGAGAGAGAGAGGGAGAGAGATGAAAAGGGAGAGAGAGAGAGAGAGAGAGAGAGGGGGAGAGAGAGCAGGATAAAAATATACTTGTACGTTAAGACTAACAAAGATCATTTTCAAGTCCAATGAAAAGTAGATTAGTCTCGTCAAAATTATAATCACGCGTTGAAACATTTTAATGAAGAGGGAAGAGAGAGAGAGAGGGAGAGAGAGAGAGAGGGAGAGAGAGAGAGAGAGAGAGAGAGAGATAGAAACGGAAAGAGAGAAAAGGGGATGGTAGGGTATACATGAGTTTCGGTCAATAAAACCATTTGGCTTCTGAGAATCTTTTAACCTACAGAGGGTGTCAGTAATCGTCAAATATAATTATGATTATTATGCATGAATCAAGTAAGCGATAAAGTTATAGTTTTGATGTATTCTTGTTGATTACTGTTGGTGATGAATACCGTGCAGATATATTCCAAATCAAATATGAAATATAAGCTTTATTGTACACCGTATATAATTATAATCAATATGTATGGAACAGTATAGAAAGATTGTAACTGCCCATTGGGAATAAATTGTTCTTACTATTGTATTTGGACAATTAATTTGATTAGATTTATTAGAAACTATACTGCACATGAATTGTACAATTTTCACCTTCCTTCGAGCATCTAGACCAATTATACATACTTGATTACCCCCAAAAGGCATCCTTCCAGTGGGGATCAGTTTCTTCCAAACATTCCTAATTCCTATATATGGCACCTGTGATCCCAAAGACATATCAGACATACTGCCATTCAGTGTTATACAACCAGTTGAAAACAATGATTCACTTGATGTTCATAATTATCATTATATTCACCCTGTAATTTGAAATACGTGTACCTCCAATTTGATATCCAACAAAATTGCATTCTGATTATCAAAATACAATTATTTGTGACATGTGAATAAAATAATTTGTAACATGGCATTTAATAAATATTAATTTTATGCAGTAAAGATGAAGTTGAGTTCTGGTCATGCAATTGCATTGTGAAAGAAACGGTGTGGAATTGACCAGAAAAGGTTGATCATCTAGCATATAAGAATTTGTATGTATTGCAAGGTTCTGGAATCATCAAAATGACAAGAATAAGGCCAAGTCTTGGTAAAGTTACAAACACTGTACACAGAAAGATGTATATGGGAATACACGAACACGTGGCGTAAAAAACCGGCCCCCGAGTTTTACATGTTACATGACATATTTAGAATATGAAAGCATTTGAAGAGCCATGCTTTTCAGGGAACATGTCTTATCCGATGTTCTTCCACACTTCCATAATAAGAATGATAAAGTTCACAAATTATTTTTCACCTCTTCCCAGAACTCAATCTTCTCTTTAAAGGTACTATGTCCCATTAGCAGGCCCAACAAATTAAAAGATTACATTCCAACGGCATTTGAAAGATAATACTAATTTAGAACTTCCCTAAAAGGTGGGGCTTGAAAATGTCTTCAAGTGGGAAAATAACGACTATTAGTGGTTAAATCGACTTAGGAGCTATAGAGCCAATAATTAATAGTCTTGATTTTCAGACCATTGTATCGAATGGTCATACTTTTAATGCTGCGCAAAGATCTTGGCCATCACAAGAAGTGGGTTATTGATGTAGACAAATGCTCACGTACCCTTTAAAGCTCATTTTATGTATGTTATTAACAAAGAAGAAAAACAGCCAGTCAGTCACTCAATAGTGTCCGACAGTGAAGTCTAGCAAGTAAACGGGTTTCCTTGCATAATTTAAATATTAGGACACTGCTAACGTTCAAATTTCACAGATAGGACATACATGACATATTCATAATTCCTGCAAAGTTCTACAGAACTTGAGGTTGACTGCAAAAGGGCCATAGTACCTTTAAATCTGATTACATATCGCAAATTAACGCAGTGCTAATTTTGGTAATCAGATGAAAAAGTTAGTTTTAGGCATGGCCGATACACCAAGTGGTAAAGAAAGAATGATATTCAAATCAGCCATAAAAAAGAAGTTTTTTTTTATACCTCTCTTTAGAAATCTAGCCATCTGATTGGTCGAAAGTGGAGTCGTGATTTTAACCATGCCATGTTGTTGTTGTTGTTCGTTTGGTATTATAATGGCTATTAGTCAAATTTGACTATTGTTGCCAATTTCATCGCATCTCTTTCTTTTAATGTCTTGGTAAAATTATTATTTCTTTCTTTCTTTTTCCAATCTCATTTTAATATAATATTAGTCATAGTCTACAAAAAAATAAAAACAAAAAATTATTTCAAATTAAACCACGATCCGCACACAGTTCCAACTCACGCTGGCCCTGTCCTTTCTATGATGCCTTCTTACCAGCCCAGCGAGTTATGTTACGCCGTACGCTTCTCGGTTGATAAACTCAACCTATAGGTCACTCTGGCATAGACAAGGGGGCGTCGTGTACCTGTATGTTTAGAGGGTTTATTTATTTATTAGGAGAAAGACAACTGCATAAGCAAAACACTTGTGGGCTTTATTAGTTTATATGAGTTAGTTCATGAGATTATTTATATAGCGCATGACTTTTAACTACTATAATCATTGGGGTGACATGCTTTCGAGTAATGATATATAGCAAGTTTTAATTGTTTTTTTTTTTTTCCCAGCAGATTTCATGTATCCTTCTCTCTCTCTCTCCTCTCCACTTCCCTAAAGTTGTGTGTATGTATTAAGATATGTTTTTCGATTGGTCAAATAAATAATGTTAAATTGTTTCAATCATTATTTTTTTTTTTAAATTAAAAGAGGCCTAAATAAGATATATAGGTCTATACGATCAAAACTTCAAATAAGACACTAATACAGGTGTAGGCATAAGGTTATACACAAAATACCTATTTTCTCTTCTATTCAGCTCAAATTGATTGCGGTTTCTGTTTTTCATCTCTTTTTGATTTTACTTTTTACATAATCGCTTCGTTCTAAAAACGAAGCGAGAAATTGCCATTTGTACATGAGAGTCACTGTTTCGTAAACATATCATAATGTCCTCTTCCTTGGAAATATTAACTTCTGACATTAACATGGCCCTTTCTATTATATACTTTGGACATTCTATCAAAAAATGTCTGACCGTTTCTAATGTTGGGCAGCTGTCACAGAAACCTGTGGAGTGGGTGCCCAAACGCAAGAGGTCTTGGTTGAGCCCAGACACTCCCAGGCGTAGTCGCCTAAGAATAGTTTCAGTTTTTCTTCCCAATTTACAAGAATATTGTGAGATAACATTTGGCTGAAGGATTTTTAATGCCGATTGGGTATCATTCCACCTTTCTTGCCAAAGTAACTTTGAACTGTACAAAATTAAACTTGTCTTTTCAAATAAAGTCAATTTATTATGCATTTCAATTTCCTGAGTTAGAGCTTTTTTTGCGTAGAAGTCTGCCTTTTCATTTCCCACTATCCCACAGTGGCCTGGAATCCATCCAAAGCGATTTCGATCCCTCTATATTTCAATCGGGTCGTTATTATAAATATTTCTGTGACAAAGGATTCGTCACTAAAATGTTTCAAGGCTGTGAGGGCACTTAAGCAGTCGCTAAAAATGACTGCACCTGTATAGATGTTTGTTTCTTCGATCCATTGAAGGGCAAGAACAATTGCAGCCAACTCGGCTCTATACGATGAGGTAAAATTCGCCAATCTTTTACATTGGTGTACAGAAAAGTGTGGGATATAGAAAGCAGCCGAGCATTGGCCCTTCTCCGGAAACTTAGATCCATCTGTATATATATGCAACTGGTTCGACCATTTTGTATTAATCAATTTTAAGCTTTGTTGCTGTAGTTCATTCGGATGGTCGGCTTTTGAAATCCGAGAGCTCAACTCGGTCGAAACCAGTGGGGGTTCAAAAAGCCATGGCGGAAATGGGGATGGTACGGCAGTTTCTGTCATGAAGTTTTTTATTTTACTCTGGGTTCTATACCCGAAAGGTTTACTAAGAAAGTCTTTTCCCTTTAGATAATCAAATTGCCAACATGGCCCTATGTTTTGTGATAATGGGTGGTTTGGGGATCTTTCGATACTTTGTCTATATTTACTTGACACAATTTGTCTCCTTAGATCCAAGGGAAATTCCCCCATTTCCACTTGTAAGGATTGTAGGGAAGTGAGAGGTAGTCCTCCCGCACAAATCCGTAGCGCCTGGTATTGCACCGAATCAAGTGCCTTTTTTGTGGTGGTAGTAGCGCTATCGTAGGCCTCACATCCATAGTCGAGTAAAGATCTTATGAATGCCCTGTAAACCTTTACGAGGGATTTAGAAGAGCTCCCCCATTTAGTTCCCGTTAAACATCTTAGGATATTCAATTTTCTTTTACATCTCTTTACAACATTTTCCACGTGTGGCTTCCAGGTCAATTTCTTATCAAAAGTTACCCCCAGAAAATGATGAGTATTCTGAAAGGGCACTTTTTTCCCGTCTAATTCTACTTGCGGTGGTGAGAGATTCATTGTACTTTTTGTAAAAAATATAGGGACTGTCTTATCAGCCGAAAGCCGAAATCCCCATCTGCGAAACTAAGTCTGGAGTCTATTCAGGTATTCCTGAAGTTTGCTTGATATTTGAAGGATATCCCTACCTGATGCCCATATGACAAAATCATCAGCATATACAGCTAAGGGCACTGAAGGATCTGTAGGGATATCACTAATCATTAAATTAAATAGCAGTGGACTCAAAATACTTCCTTGTGGGAGTCCATTATGCATATCATATGTTTTTGATTCAGTATTATTAATTCTTACCTGAAAGGTACGTCCTGTCAAATAATTTTGTAGATATTGTAACAAATTTCCTTCTATTCCTTTTTGGGCGAGTTTGAATAGTAGTCCATTTATCCATAATTTATCATAAGCTTTCTCAATATCTAGGAACACAGCTATTATGTGTTCATTACAATTGATATTTTTCTGAATATCGTTTTCTAGGAGAACTATGTTGTCTATGGCACTCCGCCCTTTTCTAAACCCGCTAATAAAATTAGGTAGTAACTCATGTTTTTCTACATACCATTGTAACCTTTCTTTGATCAAACGCTCGATTATTTTGGCGAAGCATGATGTGAGTGAAATGGGTCTATATGAAGACGCTTTCCGGGGATCTTTTCCAGGTTTCAAAATTGGTATCAAAATAGAGTGCTTCAGTGGGAGGGGTATTTCCCCTGTTCCCCAAATCCTGTTTATTATATCTAACATAACCTTTTTAGTTTCTTTAGGAAAGTTTTCATACACCTCATAAGGAATGTTATCTTGACCAGGGGCAGTCCGCTTTTTTGACTGTACTGCCTTTTCTAATTCAATGAGTAAAAAGGGTTCATTGATAACACTCTCCTGGATATTCATGCTATTCTTTACTAAAGCTAAATACTGTTCATTTACCCTATCTTCTCTCATTCCTAAAGATTGAAAGTAGCGTCCAAAAACATCCACCTTTTCATCCTCCCGAGTTATTTCTTTGTCATTTTCTGTCAATGATGACATATTTTTTGACCTCGCACCTGGAACACCATTTAGTCGTTTTATGCAGGTCCAGATTTTTGACTCAGGCATGTAACGGTCCAGTTTCGTGCAAAACGCTTGCCAATATTTTTGTTCTGCTTGGCGGAGAACTCGTTGTGCCATTTTTTTCTTGTTACTATAATCATCTATATTCTCCAGCGTTATCATTCTACCTTTAGAGAGCTTGTTACTCGCTTTATTTCTTTCTTTAATTTTAGCAGAACATTCTTTTGTCCACCATGGGACCGGGTTTTGTTTCTTTTTACTCTTTTGGGGAACAGCTTCCTTTATAACTTCTTTTAGGTACTCCATAAATTGGGTGTACATTTCCTTTACATTTGTGTTTTTTAATGTAATCTGTCCATTTAATACTTCTTCACATTTCTTTGCAAAGTTAGACCAGCTTATATTCTTAAAAGAAAAAGGCTTTTCTACCACATTTCCATTAGGCATACCTGCATTTGCTCTATGCGGATCTGTACTTTTTTCGAGAGACACTTGGAGAGAGATTGGGAAGTGGTCACTACCAAAAGTACTCCGCATGACTCCCCATGTAGACTTACACGCCAAAGAAGGAGATGTGATACTTAGATCCAGACATGATGTTTTCCCCGTTCGTGGGTCTAATCTGGTCCCCTCTCCATTGTTCAAAATAATCAAACTGTTCTTATTCAAAAAATGTTCTATTACTTCACCGTTTTTGTCTGTTTTCTCGCTGCCCCATAAAACGGTTTGATTTTCAAAGATACCGTAGATTTTTTTTTTCCCCTTTAATAAAAATCCGACTGCTGCATGCTGCATTGTTTCTTCGATTTTCTTCGTTACTACTGGAGACGTATGATTCAATCATGCAGACGACAAGGAGGTCATTGACTTTGTGACAGGAAACAAGAACAAGCTTGAAGAGGTAAATAACTAGCATGATGTACGTTGGTCAAGTGTAGATTAGACTAATCGTTAGGGGTTTTTGTTCTGGCGATTTACGTACCAGGGGCAGTACCGGCAGTACCGGTAGTACCACTGGGCGGCTGGAGTAGGCGAAGAAGACGATACCTATCCACTGGCCGCTGGATTACAATTGTATGCTGCTGGATCTGGATGGGGCGTCGCGTCCCACTGAGCTGAATAGGCATCATTTTCACGTTTGATTGAATTTAACCGCTTATATTCCAATCAAATGACTTGAATCATTCTGAATGTGGATGTTCTAAAACTTAAACAAAACAAGGAAGAGACATTCATTGATGAATTTGGTGCCAAAAGTCAAAGAAGACTCAGAGTCGGATTGAAAGACTTGATGATGATTGACTTCAGGCTTTCAGCGATTTGGTTTTTAATTTGGTAATAATTTCTGCTAAGTGTGAATTTGCCAAGTGCAGAGTGAGCATATGGCTGTGGTGTTTATGTTGTGAAGTTGTAAATATTTACGCCAAAATGTATTTGCATAATTAACCAAATATAATTATAAAAGAAGAATAACATTTCTACGCTGCATAATTTTTGCGCAATTTGTGAAGATTCTTGATAGGCTGTCAGCACATATTGTTGGCTGTTTTTATGTTTTTATGTATTTTCTGGCCAGCTTGGTTCGGTACATTGAACAGACTTCTTGACTTGCACATGCACAGCCTATGCCCTCCAATACCAGTCAACACTGTTGTTGGAAGTGTCTCCTTTCGGAGAGAGATCAAAATGGCGACTGGCTGGAATGCTCCCCAGGGAGTGGAAAATGTGCAGACATTGTATTGCGGGTAAGCCTGCATCCGATGACGGGGGTAATAATACATGTATGTGCTGCACCTAGAGACAAACTATTAGGCACATTATACATGTGATCTATTTTTATTATTATAAATTAAACTGATGAACAAATTTTAAAATCTATTGAAGACACTTTGGGCTTTGTGCAAAGTTCAGTTAGTAATGGAACATACCTTTCCTTAATTTTAATAAAGTGCTTAATACGTTACATATGACCTACGCCTAAAGATTTGATCTTTTTTATGTTTAAATAAAATGACCTACTGTAATGGGCAAGACCAGATTTAAAATATTTAGCTGTGGACGAGACACAGTAGGAGGTACAGACAGTATAAATTCATTTCTTACTCTGAGATCATTTCCTAGGCTCGCATTGTTGCAGAACTTGCAGGTCGCTCAACAGAAATACAAAACACACCAGGTTCTTGAGATGCTGGGTAACTTGCCAACTGGAAGGCCATTTGCCAGCACCAACCAAAGACAAGTCAGACTGGGTTTCATCCCAGTTGTTGACCCTATGAATGATGACCCATCTCTGTTGGACCCAGTGCCCAATTCCCTGTGCATGTACTTATGAAGCGAGCCGCCATTATAATTTCTCTCCTTTGATTTATTGATTTATTTATTTACAGTTTTATTATTTAAAAAAAAAAGCTATCCTTACTCCTTAGGCCCTGCACAATTAAAACAAGACATATACATGTATGTAGATTATTTACATACTTGATGAGGACTTAACATGTTTGTTACATAGATTAAATCAAGGGAATTTGTTCTCTCTTTCAGTTTCTTCCTACAGTTTCATACTTTACAAATACATGCTCAGGTTGATTATCTCTCTCTTGAAGTGTGGGTCTACTAGACCATACTTATTCATATTCTACATTACATATTGATCTTGATGTAGAGTACCTTTGTGCTGGTGCCTTTGATTAGGATTCTAATTTTTATTTGTATTTAGTTAAAACTGTAAACTCTGTGATAAAGCATTTTTATTTATTCCTTGTTCTTTTTTCAGGTCAGAGCAATCATTGGAAAGCACTTTGATGTTCAGTCAGTAGCTATTGATTGTGAGTATTGTGGGGGGCTAACCGGGTGACATTTGGCAATTTGTTCAATTGTGTTTGTTGTTTGTTGTTGTTGTGTGTTTTTTTTAATTTTTTTTTATGGGGGGGGGGGGAGATAAATGAGTTAGTTATTATTGTTAGTATTTTGCTGTTTATCAAGTAGCAATGGATATTAAAGAATTACATTTATGATGAACCTGTGAAATAGGAACTGGCTAAAATAGTTGACCAGGATCCAGCGGCTAGGTTAAATACAGCTAGTGCAAAGTGCCTTGTGACTAACTGTAAAGGCTCTATCTAAATTGAATGCAAAGGAAATAAAGTTAAACAAAAATGAAGAATGGCAACAAATTCAGGCACCCTAAAGTTTTTAGTCATGCACTCACCAGAATAAATCACAAGAACGGACAGAATGCCAAAATCAGACGATATGATGCTAGGTTTACATTATTTATGTTCCCGGCGGCCACGGCAATCACGTTTCGGGCCATCGTGGACAAAACGGGATGGACGTGAGACAACGTGGGGGACGGAATGGGCAAACGTGACAGGCCGTGATTGCTGTGGATGCCGGGTCAGATTTTTACACTGTCAAAACTTGCAACGACAGTCACGATGTGGATGAAAAAAACCTAGTAGGCGGCAGTAAAACTGGATGAACGTTATGTGAGAGTATGAATACAGAGAATGGCCCCAATCCTACGGCGCATTACGTTTCAGGCACACAGGGCTGCTGTGGCCGCCGAGAATAACGTAAACCTAGCATTAGTAGACGCCAAAAAAACAAAGTGCGCAAAGAAATAATGGGCTGTGAATGGCTATCGCTTACATTGTCTGATTTTGTCTTTCTGGATATTGTTCAATTTTGTATTACCAATCATCTGTAAAGTAAAAAACAAAATCAATAACATAAAACACAACAACTTTTACTACTAATTCGTATTGAAGGGGTGGGGGGGGGGGCGGATGGGCATACCAATACTATACAAAAGACTTTAAGCAACCCATTAAAAGTAGTTAAACTTTTACAAACATTTCTTTTGTTTCTTCAGTACCAGAATTTCAGGGTGAACCAGATGATATATCCAAAGCAAAATGCCTGGAAGCTGTCAAGCATGTGAGTACGCCTGGGACATCACATAGTTAATTTTCATTGTTTACCGGTATTTTGCTAGCAAGCTATGAGAATGAAGCCAACCCTACCTTGTTTATCAAATAAAGCAATACTTTAAGATCCCAATCGTATTTATCAATGCTTGTCCCATAATACTATGTATTATATAAGTATTCCCATTGTTCTACAGACTACAATGAATATATAGTTAGGTCAATATATAGGGTTTGACCCTAAAGATATATTTTGTGTCATGTACAGTACCGTACACATAATAAATACTTTTCCCCTTTACTAATGCTAAGCAGTGCAAGTCCGATTGATATTGTCTAATAGTCTACTGATCCCAAACATTTCACCTCACAAATATTAAGGATTTCCTACCTCTGTTTTTATGCCTCCGCCACCGAAGGTGGTGCCGGAGGCATCATGTTTTCGGGTTGTCCGTCCGTACGTCCGTCCCGTTTGACCGTTATCACAATATCTCAAGAACCATTTAAGATTTAAACTTAAGACTCGGGAATAGTATTTATCACCATAGGAAGATGATCTGATTAGATTTTGGAGTATGTAGGTCAAAGGTCACAGGTCACAGAGGTCAACATATGAAATTCCTTGTATTGAGTTTGTTAGCGCGATATCTCAAGAACCATTTGAGATTTAAACTTCAAACTTAAGGATAGTATGTATCTATGGAGCGCCAAAGGGGCCAATATCAACAGTCACAAAAACAAACAAAGATGCATACAAACAAACAAAGAAGCATACAAACAAACAAAGGACAGAGCAAAATAGACAAAGTACCCAGAAGAAAGGACCAATTAACAAAGAATAAATCAAAGGTCAGAGCAAAATAGACAAAGTACAGGTCAGAAGAAACAGAGGGTGTTTTGGTTTACGGTAAGCAAATAGACATCAGGCACGAAAACGAGAAAGGACAAACTCAAAAGGACATCAGCTCAGCTAGGAACTGACCCTCAAAGGACAACAGAGGGCGTTTTGGTTTACGGTAAGCAAATAGACATCAAGCACGAAAACGAGAAAGGACAAACTCAAAAGGACATCAGCTCAGCTAGGAACTGACCCTCAAAGGACAACAGAGGGCGTTTTGGTTTACGGTAAGCAAATAGACATCAAGCACGAAAACGAGAAAGGACAAACTCAAAAGGACATCAGCTCAGCTAGGAACTGACCCTCAAAGGACAACAGAGGGCGTCCTCGAGGTTTTTTCTTTTTAATCTAGGGCCTACTCCAATATAATACGCTGTAGGTCAATACAACAAATATGGGCTTTCATCGAAAGGGTGCGGTGCGGTGCGGCGCGGTGTGGTGTGCTCAACGCACCCATTCGATAAAAGAGGGGGGCCTTTTCTCGAAAGGGTGCGTTGAGAGCGGAGTACCATTTTAACACACCCTTTTGATGAAAGCGGGGGGGGGGGGGGGGGGGGGGCTTTTCTCGAAAGTCGTTTAAAATGAGGATCTCGGACAGAAGGTAATAGTTGCCAATTTAAGTATATCGAAAATGTATTAAATGAAATGGAATGGTCTTGATTACAGAGTGGTCTCTTTGATGGGGGGGACAGAGAGAAGGAAAAAAGGGAAAGGGAAGATAAAAGGAAAGAAAGAAGAGGAAAAAGAATAAGAAAAGAGGGAAACAGGGGCGAAGTGCTCTTGCCTCCTCCCTCCCCCCCCCCCCCCCCCCCCCCCGCCAATAAATAAATAAGAGAGAGAGAGAGAATCTGTTCTGATCCTGGTCCTGATCCTCAAGAGGGATATAAAGATGACCAATAAGAACGTTATCGTTCGAGAGAGAGTGTTTGTTGCTTCTAGAACATTTTAGAATTAAGTCCCATCACATTGCAGTTGTGGGGAGGGACTATGATTATATTACCCCCTTGGATGGCTTCCCATAAGAGTCCGGCTTTGAAGGTTTCGACTGCGTCGCAGGCAAAGATGCTGGGGGGGGGGGAAGTAAATTCCAGGCCCGTATGGTTCTTGGAAAGAAGGTGAGTCGATATATATCCGTCTTGCATCTTATGTTGGAGAAGGAGAGGGAAAGAGAAGATAAAAGGAAAGAAAGAAGAGGAAGAGGAAGAAGAATTTGTGTTCTGCCAGTGTCACAAATAGATATATAAATATGCTCATCTGACGATAATTTGATGTATAAAACCCCTCACCTTCTTGGGGCTCCGCCCCTTGGATCCAACACCAATTTGTGTCCTTCCAGTGTCACAAATAGATATAAAAATATGCTCATCTGACCGTTATTTATTGCCCAAAACCCCTGAGCTTCTGGGTGCTCCACCCCCTGGACCCCACGCCAATTCGTGACCCCTGTGTCACAAATAAGGTATAAAATAATAATTATTTAATGGACAAAACTCCTGAGCTTCTGGACCCAACACCAAATTGTGTCCTGCCACTGTCACAAATAAGGTATAAAATTATGCTCATCCGACGTTAATTTTGATGTTTAATACCCCTGAGCTTCTGAGGGCTCCGCCCTGTGAAAAAAACACGTTAATTTTTACCGTTTTTGGGAGATACCCCCCCCCCCTGGCGTTCAAGGGGGGGGGGGGGGTACGATTTTTCAAATTTTTGAGGGCCCCAAAAAAGATTAGTGCTCTCTAGTAATTTCGCGACTACTCCGGAACCGCGGCAGTTTTTCTTTCATGACTTTTTTCTTTCGAGTCTTACGCATCTTTTGAAACATTTTTTTGTTGAAAATCGGACGTATAATTGCGGAGTCACGTGACCTTTTGTTTTTGCATGTCAAAAAAATCTAAAATCGCTCATTTTTGTGATTTATGTACCAAACATATGGAAATACCATTTATTCTTTTAAAAAAAGAGAAAACATTGGTTATTTGGTCTTGTTTCAAGTAAATTTGTTTGATTTTGGGTAAAAATAGTTGAATTGTGGTTAGAAATGAAATGAAATAACAAAATAATATAATACATAAATACAAATAATCAAAACAAGAGATAACATAGGGATAAACTGGCTCTTCCAACTTTGTTGTCGTATTATTATTCTAACGAATATATGAAGTGAAAAAGAATGCTCGAATATGAATTATATATGATTTATGGGTAAAAATGTGAATTCTCTGACCTTGTTTGCATAAATTACCATAAATATGCATTTTCGCGGCGATCGGCTGTGAAACGGCCGAGATCTTAGGAGGACCCCCCCCCCCCACCCTCAAGTCCACTCCAATCACATTGAAAAAAAGTATGACTTAAATCATCTCTCTCATCATTATACCGCTATAGTATTCATGTTTTTAATATTATTTATTTTCCATTAAACAAGTTCATAGAGAAAATACTTATCTCTCTGCAACATTAAAAAAGAATCTTCATTAATATGTCTTAATTTGTATTGATAGCCTTGTGGTCGCCAACAGTGGCGAAGGCAGGGGCGTCTCCAAAGGGGGTGTGGGGGTGCGACACCCCCCCCCCCCCCCACCTGTCAGGATATTGTCGGTAAAATTGCGCTGCCGTCGGGAAAAAGAGAAAAGGGGGAGGGGGAAAAAGAGAGTAAAAGGGAAAGAAAAGAAAAAAAGAAAAAGAAAAGAAAAAAAGAAAAGAAAGGAAAGAAAAGAAAGAGAAAAACGAAAAAGCGGGAGAATAGGAAAGAAAGGAGGCAAGAGCCCTTTGCCCCCGTTACCCTCTTTTCTTCTTCTTCCTCTTCTTTCTTTCCTTTTATCTTCTCTTTCCCTTTCCCTTCTCTCTCTCTCTTATTTATTTTTTTTGGCGGGGGGGGGGGGGGGGAGGAGGGGAAGAAGGGCTAGGAGGCAAGAGCCCTTCGCCTCCGTTTCCTTCTTTTTCCTCTTCTTTCTTTCCTTTTATCTTCTCTTTCCCTTTCCCTTTCCCTTCTCTCTCTTACTTATCTTTTGGCGGGGGGAGGAGGAGGAGGCAAGAGCCCCTCTGTTCTTCATATTCTTCTTCCTTTCCTTTTTTATTCTCTTTCCCTTTCCCTTTCCCTTCTCTCTTTCTCTCTTATTTATTTTTTTGGGGGGGGGGGGGGGAGGCAAGAGCCTTTCGCCCCCGTTTCCCTCTTTTCTTCTTCTTCTTCCTCTTATTTCTTTCCTTTTATCTTCCCTTTCCCTTTTTTCCTTCTCTCTGTCTCCCCCATCAAAGAGACCACTCTGTAATCAAGACCATTCCATTTCATTTAATACATTTTCGATATACTTAAATTGGCAACTATTACCTTCTGTCCGAGATCTTCATTTTAAACGACTGATGCGAAAGACTAGTCGACGCACCCTTTCGAGAAAAAAGCCCCCCCCCCCCCCCCCCCCCCCGCTTTCATCAAAAGGGTGTGTTAAAATGGTACTCCGCTCTCAACGCACCCTTTCGAGAAAAGGCCCCCTCTTTTATCGAATGGGTGCGTTGAGCACACCACACCGCGCCGCACCGCACCCTTTCGATGAAAGCCCATATTTGTAGTATTGACCTACAGCGTATTATATTGGAGTAGGCCCTAGATTAAAAAGAAAAAAAACCTCGAGGACGCCCTCTGTTGTCCTTTGAGGGTCAGTTCCTAGCTGAGCTGATGTCCTTTTGAGTTTGTCCTTTCTCGTTTTCGTGCTTGATGTCTATTTGCTTACCGTAAACCAAAACGCCCTCTGTTGTCCTTTGAGGGTCAGTTCCTAGCTGAGCTGATGTCCTTTTGAGTTTGTCCTTTCTCGTTTTCGTGCTTGATGTCTATTTGCTTACCGTAAACCAAAACGCCCTCTGTTGTCCTTTGAGGGTCAGTTCCTAGCTGAGCTGATGTCCTTTTGAGTTTGTCCTTTCTCGTTTTCGTGCCTGATGTCTATTTGCTTACCGTAAACCAAAACGCCCTCTGTTTCTTCTGACCTGTACTTTGTCTATTTTGCTCTGACCTTTGATTTATTCTTTGTTAATTGGTCCTTTCTTCTGGGTACTTTGTCTATTTTGCTCTGTCCTTTGTTTGTATGCTTCTTTGTTTGTTTGTATGCATCTTTGTTTGTTTTTGTGACTGTTGATATTGGCCCCTTTGGCGCTCCATATGTATCACCATAGGAAGACGATCTGATTAGATTTTGGAGCACGTATGTCAAAGGTCAAGGGTCACAGAGGTCAACTTATGAAATTCCATACATTGAGATTGTTATCATGATATCTCAAGAACCACTGGAGATTTAAACTTCAAACTTAGTGATAGTGTGTATCACTATAGGAAAACAATCTGATTACATTTTGGAGCACGTAGGTCAAAGGTCAAGGGTCATAGAGGTCAACTTATGAAATTCCATACATTGAGATTGTTATCATGATATCTCAAGAACCACTGGAGATGTAAAAACTTCAAACTTAAGGATAGTATGTATCACCATAGGAAGACGATCTGAGTAGATTTTGGAGCACGTAGGTCAAAGGTCAAGGGTCACAGAGGTCAACTTATGAAATTCCATACATTGAGATTGTTATCATAATATCTCAAGAACCACTGGAGATTTAAACTTCAAACTTAATGATAGTGTGTATCACCATAGGAAGACAATCTGATTAGATTTTGGAGCACGTAGGTCAAAGGTCAAGGGTCACAGAGGTCAACTTATGAAATTCCATACATTGAGATTGTTATCATAATATCTCAAGAACCACTGGAGATTTAAACTTCAAACTTAATGATAGTGTGTATCACCATAGGAAGACAATCTGATTAGATTTTGGAGCACGTAGGTCAAAGGTCAAGTGTCACAGAGGTCAACTTATGAAATTCCATACATTGAGATCGTTATCGCGATATCTCAAGAACCACTGGAGAATTTTCACTTCAAACTTAATGATAGTATGTATCACCATATCATAATATCTCAAGAACCACTGGAGATTTAAACTCAAACTTAATGATAGTGTGTATCACCATAGGAAGACAATCTGATTAGATTTTGGAGCACGTAGGTCAAAGGTCAAGGGTCATAGAGGTCACCTTATGAAATTCCATACATTGAGATTGTTATCATGATATCTCAAGAATCACTGGAGATTTAAACTCCAAACTTGTTAAAAACAACAACCTTCGCATCTACAGTCAAGCGCCTTAAACCACTCGACCACGACACTCCCTTTAAAAGAAGCAGAACATTGAGAGAAACAGGCCAGTGAAAGTTTGAGCAATAATTGATTAAAAATAAGAAATTTATGAGTTTTTAAAGGTGCAATCAATCTAACACAAATTGGCAACTATGTGACATATCTTGTGAGGTCAATTCGCATTTGCTTTACCAAAAAAAGATCAGAAATTTGTATAGTCCATAAAAAATAAATTCAATCATGCATGCACCCTTAATATAATTATTGCATGACTCCTGTATGAAAGAAATCTATTCCGTCATCAATAACTAAGAAAATGAAAGGGTTGCCAATTTGTGTTTCCCTGAGGACAACTTCGAAAATTCATAACTTTCTCATTTTTAATCGGAATTTGCTCAAACTTGTTTCTCTCCTTTATCTGATTCTATCAAAACCACATTAATATCAGGGTGGACTTCCCCTTAAACTGCATGTTGCAGGTCCAATGTTTTTGTGTTATTGTGTTTCTTCACAGATAAAAGGTCCTCTAATAGTTGAAGACACCTGCCTGTGTTTCAATGCATTAGGTGGCATGCCAGGACCTTACATGTAAGTATCATTTAGAGTTATTCATTTGAGAAATCTTTAAACAGTGTATATAGAGAAATCTTAAAACAGTGTATAAGAACATCCATATGAGTAGGGACACAAACGGCAGAACAGTTTATGACAAATAATATTTTTTTCAGGATTGATGCAGACATTCATTTCTCTTTTGATTTATGATAGATAAGAATGGGTGGAGTAGAAACAAATTGGAAAAAATTAAAAAAAAAAAAAAATTGGATTAATTCATGAATGATCCAGATTTTTATTTTTATGCCTCTGTTACGAAGTAGCCGGAGTCATTGTGTTTTCGGGTTGTCCGTCCGTCCCCCCGTTCTTGTGATCGTGAACACAGTATCTAAATTGATATGTAAAGGGGAGAGAGAGAGAGAGAGCACCAAAAATATTTTGTATTCTTCAGAAGACAGAATGATTACGTAATTAAAAAAAACTGTAACATTTAATGTTAAGGCTCAATGAAAATTAAGACATAATGATTACCAGTATGTAAACAAAAAAAAACTATAAAATTTAATGTTAAGGCTTAATGAAATATAATCATTCTGTGCTTGTCAAATTTTATGGGAGTTTGTTGACCAGTTGATTTTTAGTTATTGGTTCCCTTACGATGTATGTTGGATTATCAAATATTTCATATTTTACCTTGAAATGTACCTATCTCTTTTTTCTCTTTCTATTTCAGAAAGTGGTTTCTCGATAAATTAGGACCATCAGGTTTGTACTGGAAATTATTAATCAAAATGATATGCAAACTACTTAGTAGTTCAACCTTAAAGCACTATTAGCAGCAATAATATTTGAAGAAGAGAAAAAGCACTAAATGAAATCTTATACAAAAGTGATTCATTTAATAAATAATTGAACTGAAACTGTAATTTGCACTGAAATGAACGGAACTTGATTGAACTGAAATTAATTGTACCGAAATGAAGTGGAGTGAAGTGGACTGAATTTAATTGATTGAAAATAAAATAACCTAAGTGCTCTGAGTTGGACAGAAATAAATGTAGATTGCTGCATGTTCACTTCGTGCCTTCTAAACAGATAAATAAAAGGGATAATAATACGTCTAAATCTTCTTCTTTGAAAATATGTTCCCTGACTTACTAGATATTCTATATTTTATAATTTTGGGATTATAATGCACTTGATATCTACCAACTTATTTAGTCTGTGCTCCTCATTTTTCTTCCAGCACTCTTATATCCTACATTTTGTAGGTTTCCACAAGTTAGAAAATATATATATTTATTTTTGGAAAATGTATTCCATGATTTGCTTATTCAATGATAGTAATTTGAAAATATGCAGCAGTCAATAATTACCTAAGGATTCTGTGTGCTTGTCCATCTTAATTTTCAGTAATGTATTTCCCTCGACGAATCCTCCATTTCTAGGGCTTCACAGGCTACTGACTGGGTGGGAAGACAAATCTGCATATGCCCTATGCACATTTGCATATTCAACAGGAGATGCTGCCAAAACAGTACAGCTTTTTCAAGGAAAGACAGAGGTGAGGGAATAGGCATGAGAGGGCTTTTTTGTTGTGCAATATGTCCATGTTTTTTTTAAGCCTCCGTTACGAAGTAGCCAGAGGCATTATGTTTTGGGTTGTCCGTCCGTCAGTCCGTCCGTCCGTCCCATTCTCGTGATCATGGGTCAAAGGTCACATAGCTCCTTATGTATGCAAAAATAGCTTGTGATCACGTTATCTCAAGAACCGATTGATGGATTCCTGCTATACTTAGGTCATGTTTGTATCTTGCAGAGCCAATGAACTGATTAGATTTTGGGGTCACGAGTTCAAAGGTCATGGGGCCCATTATGTATGCAAAATAGCTTGTGATCGCATTATCATTAGAAACGATGGACGGATTACCATCAAACTCAAAACATGTATGAATCTTGCAGAGGTAATGAGCTGAGTACATTTTGGGGTAATTTAGGTCAAAGGTCAAAAGGTCATACATGTATATGAAAAATAGCTTGTAATCACGATATTCTGAGAACCTGATAATGGATTACAATCAAACTCGAATTTTAAAAATTGCTTCTGTTTTGGTTTGTAAAATGGCACTATTGTAAGCAGCCAACCTAGAAAGAGAAGCCTAGCTCCTATAATCCACTCCATATCATTTGATTCTTAAAACTCTTGACAAGGCGGCACTGGAATAACCATCCTTTTGTTAAGGGTGTCCTCGACTTTGTGTGGTAATGTGGTAGTGCTAATAGTGGAAACAAAATCAGAATGTGAAATAATGGCAAGGATGAAGCAATGTATTTCTATTATTTTTAATAAATTCTTAGTTTGAGCTTTAGGAATTTGCTTGTATGAATGTGATATTACAAAGAAATTGTTCATGTCGGATGATGTCTCCATTCTACATTTTTCTACTCTTTGATGCAGGGTAGGATAGTTGAACCCAGAGGACCCCCAAGTTTTGGCTGGGATCCTTGTTTCCTACCGGATGGATTTGATCAAACGTAAGTATAACACTGTTCCACCTCGAACAAATGCAACAACCTTTCCCTCACATGAAAAGAGGAATTTTTAATTTTTGTTAATTGTCTGTGGTGACACAAATTCATGTTAAATATCGCTAATTTTCATGCTTGCCATTAATTATAGGGAGAGAGGTGCCTGGCTAGGAATACAAAATCGTGCTCTTATAGTTACATCTCACCTTGTAGATCTCCTTCCCCAATTAAACAAAAATCAATTTTTCTTTTCTTATGTTTGTGTAGCCAGTGATCTTATGAGATTGTTCAAAAGTCATCTGGATTATTGCTATCATGCCTATCTTTTAGATGGAGATGCATTTATGGCTAGAAAGTTGCTTTCCTCTGGCTTTATAGGCACCGTTTTATTATTATAACTATTCTCATTTATTTCATTCAAAGCGATTGACTCCTAGTAATTAAGAAACATTGTCATTAAACATATTTTTGCAGATATGCTGAGATGCCAAATGAAGAGAAGAACAAAATTTCTCACCGTGGTAAAGCCCTGAAGTCCTTAGCTGAATACTTCCTTCAAGAGACATGATACCAACTCACTGCTTTGACTTTGTAGTTTGTTAGTTAGACCAACTGGGAATATGAGGAGGAAGGCCCTTAATCCTGCACTGTGTTGAATAATAATGATAATATTGGAGTCTTGTATGGCGCTCGTGTCTGGCAGCCACTCCTGGCGCACCGATACCATTACAGAGCTCAACCATTTTTGAGGAATTAAGTCCTGCCGGGTATCCATTTTCCTCACGGCGTGGAGTGTGGCATATGTACATTAATGTCATCCCCAAGTAAATAAGCGCTGTGACAAGGATTTGAACCCCTCGCAGCCCAGAGACTTCTCCGCCAGACCAGAACCCCTCTACAAAAGCTGGATCGAAATCATGTTGCTGGAAATGTTGGGATGGAAATGTTTCTAGTCTGACCGTAGTGCAAGAATGCCAAGGAGCACATACTCTTGATTTTTTAAATGTAGATAGATCATGACATCAACCACATAATCTATGCTAACCATCATTACCTGATCAAGACACTTGAAGAAGCAGTGAAATGAAGGAGAGACTCATGGCAGTTCTTCATTAAAAAAAAAACAACTTCTGGGAGGAGGAGGAGGGAGGGGGCTTAACATGTGTTTAATTTCTTGTTTCCAAAATGTGTGTTCAAAGATCCCCTCACGACAAAGCTCTACATGAAACTAACCCCATTTAATGTTGCATTTAGATAATGAAAAAAAATTAACATTCCTTACTATTTTACTGAATATTTTGTATGTGCAGTGGTAAAACCAAAGATATCTACTCTCATTATGTATATAAGCAAAACAGCTTATGCATTGGCACTGGGAGGCATCTTAATAGTTTGCTCACTTTCAGTACCCCACCTCCAAAATCATGGTTTGTTTCTCGCTTGATATCATTGTTGAGTTTCATGATAAATATTTATTTTGATATTTTAATGTCTTGGACTTGCAGTTCCTATTGTGTCTCTCCTCCCACATATTCTCTCTGTATAATAAATACTTTTTTGTTCAATGAACTGAATGAAAGAAAATGGCATATATGACACCATAGAAACAAAAAAGGAAGAGTACAAAATGGTTAAAGAGAGTGATAGAGTTCGATCGAGAAAGAGAGAGAGAGAGAGAGAGAGAGAGAGAGAGGGGGGGGGGGGGGGGGGAGAGAGGTACCTGGGTGATTTGACATTTGCTCCGGTCTATTTTGTCATAGATGCACCGAAAGCTTCAGTTTGTTTTTTGTTTGTTTGGTTTTATTTCTGCGTTCAAAAAGAAACAAATTCAAACTCAAATTACTAAAATTAGAACAATAACAAATACAATGAATCAAATGTTAACAAAAGTAATTAAACAGAAAATCATGTAAAATTATATCATACAATAAACATATATGAAGCATACAAAGAAGATCAAAGAAATATGAAATAAATTAGAGAGGTAATTTAGAACGCAGGAAACCACCATCGTGAGCGGTTAGGCTGGAGATGGATGGCGGCCTCATAAAAAAAAAATTGGCGACATAACTCTCTTGGGAAAACTGAGTGATCAAGTGGGTGCAGTGCAGGGGCGGTGATCCCGGGGGGACGGGGTGGGGGGGGACACGTCCCCCCTCAAAATTTGAAAAAGTGCCCCCCCCCCCAAAAAAAAAAAAAAAAAAAAATGTATAGCAAATACTGACTAAAGACTGCAACACACTTTTAGGCTGTGGAGTGCAGCGTTTAGACAAATAAAAATGCAAAAATGTTCTCACTCGGTAGCTATTTTCTCTCGTATAATATCCTTCAAAATTTACAAGTAAATATGGAGAAAAGTGAAATTGAAAAAAGTATATTGCTTGTTTTAATACTCTAGTTCTGTAAATGACTGTAATTTGTTAATACAACAAAATTTCACAAACCTGTGAGAGGTAGTCACTTCCGTCACCTTCACCCCTCTCATTCACTATTGCTCATCTCACCTGCGTACTGATGGGGGGGGGGGCCTTTGGGGGCAGCCCCCCCCCTCCAATTGAAATTCAAACGTGGTTTATTTCTAATTAGATACCAGTGATTTACAAATTTCGCTGAAATGGCTTGATAGTTCCCTGAGCTTCCGGGGGCTCTGCCCCCTGGACCCCACCAAGGGCCCTTAGGAGGGGGGGGGGGGGGCTGGTTGCTCATCTGACCGTAAATTAATGCTTAAAACCCCTGAACTTCTTGGGGCTTTGTCCCCAGGATACTCATCTGACCTTAACAAATGCCTAAAACCCCTGAGCTTCATGGGGCTCCGCCGGGGCTTTGCCCCTGGTCCCCACGCCAATTTACGCTCCACTTTGCTTTGCTTTGCTCTACCTGATCGTAAATACTTTAGCCCCCCCCCCCTCCCCACTTCGAAAAACGTTCCCAGGGCCTGCGTAACATGTAAGAGTGTTTTTTTTTGTTGCTCATTTTGCTCATTACGCCACTGCTCCCTCGTCGCTCGCATTTCGCCCCCCCCCCCCCGGTCGTGAAAAGAAATCGCCGCCCCTGGTGCAGTGCAAGTGCAGGTGAGTGTGCAATCTACTGTATAGAAGGTTGAGCTGCCTGAAACAAGTGAGGTTAAGGCTTGTGATTGGGATTATTTATATCAGGTTTAGAATTAGCATTAGAGTTTAGTATCGTGTTAGGTCCAGGGTTGTAATCAACTGCGTAAAGCATTATTGTCGCCGGAACATGTAACTTATAATCTTTACAAATGTACAATGCGTATGAACATAAGTGTACTCAACTTTGATAGCTTCTACCTAAAAAGTTATAATTTATGTGACTTTGAATCATATGTCATGGTAAAGGGTAATCAATACTCTGTCGAATAATACTACGTTCATAATTGTTTCTGCCACGGATGACTGAATAGCAGGCTTTTCTAAAAGTATTGTCAAAATCCTCTGGTAATTTGTATACCAAGTTTGGGCTGAAGCAATGCATGTTAGTCAAAAAACATAATGTTTGTGCGTCATCTCATTCTAAAAAAAAATTGCTCACTAATTTACATTGACTATTAGGTAGTGGAAAAGAAAAGGTGTTAATTAAAGCCTCTCTATACCGTGTGAGTCAAAAAACAGTTTACACCTAGAAAATTGCTAATTATTTTAAAAATCATCTATGAACAGTCAATTATTTTACATCTTATGAAAGAGTGTTTTATCCCAAATCATTTGGTATCATTTTTGTGCGGTATGTGTTCACGCTTGGATGAACAGGAGGCATTTGTTTTGAAAATCCTTGCAGAAGTGAGTGTTGGAGGACATACCCTTTCACATCATTGTACAATTTAAATTTTGGGCCCCCGGCAACACTTTGGAGGGGCTTTAATATGTTGGTGGTGTGGGTCCGGACATGATGGGATGTCCGACAGTGGCGGATCCAGGGGGGGGGGGGGGCCTGGAAAAAAAAATGCTCACTACCCCCCCCCCCCCCCCCCCCCCCCCCCAAAAGAGCGAAATATTGGCCGGCATGATTTTCAAATTTCAGCACACTAAATTTCTAATTGATTTCAAATTTGGTCCCCCCCCCCTCTAAGAAAACCTGGATCACCGTCTGGTGACCGAATATTATATGTACATGTACACTGTTGGTCATAATGGTGGAATAATTTTTTTACCCTAGTACAGTCATGATTCATTGGCTAAGCAATGGCCCCGTTATTGTGAGCCCCCAGGATCAAAACCGTGTCGATGTGCTATATTATTGCCTTTTTATGAGGCATTAATCCCCATTACTGTCAGTTATGACTTAAGGACGTAGGTCCCATAGTTGATTAGCATAGTAGCACACACATGCTTTAGCAGTCCCGCAAAACAAACACTCCCCAATTGTCATTCAATAAAATCTGAGAATGTCTACTATTATCTAGATCTATTAGGAATAAATCATTGTCAAAATCATTCAATAAATTGGGGTAAAAATAATTATTCCACCATCATGACCAACACTTAAATTTTTTTTCGGGGGTAGGAGGCGGAAACAGACTCGATAGATGCCATACGATGTGCGATAGGGAAAGGACGGGGGGGGGGGGGGATGCACGTGTTCCCCCGTACCCTCCTGTATTTTCACCAATAGAAGAGAGATCGAGATCTACACAAAGGTAAAATACAAGGGCAAAGTCAAAGGCCCGAATGCACAAAGGAGGTTTGTCGACAAACCTTGGTTTTCGTGCGTCATATGACGCGTTTCGACGCGTTTTTACAAACCAGGTTTCGTAAAAAACGCGTAAAAACACGTCATATGACGTACGAAAACCAAGGTTTGTCGACAAACCTCCTTTGTGAATTCGGGCCATTGAGTGTGTGTGTGTGTGTGTGTGTGAGAGAGAGAGAGAGAGAGAGAGACAGAGAGAGACAGACAGAGACAGACAAAGAGAGAGAGAGAGGGGGGGGGGGGGAGAGTTCAGTTGGATGCAGTATGGATGCAGCTGTGAAAAGGTTGCACAAATGTTGTTGTGTTATTTTGTTATAATGGCAAAACAGCCAAGAACTGACTATAATCACCGACAAAGAAAGGTTCGTGGAAGGTTGTTAGTCTCTGTACTAATAAAGAGATGTTCCAGTAAGCCTATATATATATATTTGCGATTAATGATTTCCGATCCTTTGACGTTTGAAACAATTGAAGAAAAAGAAATACAATACCCGTACATCTCTTTCACTAAACGGTGATGGTAGCGATAAAACGAAAATACAATGGGAACGATATTGATTTTAAACATTTATATGCACAATTAAGTCACCCGACCTTATTTCTTCTTTCTACCAGTAATTCAACATCGCCGATCTCATCATAAACATTAATCCGCTATTTGTCGTAGGGTCGAGTCATATTTGGCAGATAGAGCTTTTCAAATATCCGTTGGCGTATCATAAAGGTTCCAGTTAGGCCCTTTAATTGTTATACGCAGACGCGGATCCAGGATTTCTTAGGGGGAGCGCCCAAATTCGAAATCATGCGAATCAAATATTGGTAGGTAGAATGGTGACCAGTGGCATTTCTGGCGCTTGTTTTCGTTTGGGGGGGGGGGGGGGGGGGAGGGGGTTGCGAGAGGGGCGCAAAAGCATACCCCACGCCTGTCATATCGAAACATAATACCAACATCTGGTTAAGCATGTGGCAGTGGGAGGGCTTCACTCCCGCCGGAAGAACATTCTGAAAGTTTCAAATTTCCGAAAGAAATATCATATTTACACCTAAAACATTTAAAAAGAATCTAAAGTCATATATGTTCACATGTTATTTTAGTTAACTATATGTTGAATGTACATCTATGCATTTTTCCCCTTCTCATTTCTCTATGTATCTCATTCTAATTCTATCCCTCTGCGCCTCAGAATAGTTTACTAGATCGATGGCGCATAATAAATGCTGTATTATTATCATAATGGTGTCGAGGAGCTCCTTCTTCTGTGTTCGTTCGGTAATGAATAATGTTAGTTTTTGTGGGTGTCATCATGGTCATTTACGCTAACTCCCCACCCGCGTAGCTAGGATTTTATTTTAGGGGGGGGGGGGGGAGGGGCGGTAATGAGCACGCAAAGCGTGTGAATCCCTTACAGAGTGCACGAAGAGCGCTCCTTTGGGTAGTGCGTGCAGGGAGGGTAGCTTTGACGTTACATTAAACTATTACAGAAAGAAGATGTACCGTTCTCGACTCTTAATCCTTGTCTAAATTTTCAAGAATATTTCTTTGCCTCCTCCTTTTTTCTTCCTACGTCCATTTCCTTTTATCTCTTCTTTCTCCCCCATCTCTCTCTCTCTCTCTCTTGTTGGCCAGCGTTTGAGGGGATGAACTCCCCACAGCCCCCCTTCCTGTCACTCCTTCGAAACCCGCCCTAAACACTGAGTTTTGTGAATCCTTATCAGCATACATCAGCTCTTGCAGGAGCCGCAAAGCCAAGGCGCATTATTCCTCGGCGATCATATCAAATAGTTATGTATCGGAGATGGAAAGATACTGTAAATCAATAATCATTTTCAATATAATCAAAAACCATTTTCAATAGGATCAG